CCCCCCATCCCCTGGGAAGGGTTGGGTCTGGCACCTTGGAGACAGTGCTAAGGCACTAAAATAATTTACTTCTTTGAACCCAAGCCAAGTGAACAAAGGAGTGGAGAGGCTGCAGCTTCTCTTCAGTGGGAGAGCCTGGTCCTCCGAGCCACCAGCACACTCAAGCCTTTGTCCCTCCCAATTTGTTTTGATGCCGTGTCCCACATGCTCTTAGCACTCTAGGAAGGTGTCCTTGAGGGTAGTTGGCTCAGCTCCTTGGGAGGACTCGAGTGCCCCACCCAGGGCCTGCCCATTTCCAAGCCCTTGATAGAAAAGGCTTCCGTCTGCAGCTGGGGCCACTCGGCGAAGACTGGACCGTCCGCACCATCCAGCTGCACCAAGAACTGTATGTGCTTTCGTCCTGTTTTCTTTCTTTCCTCCAAAGAATCTTTTATAAACTTTTTTCCCCCTAAGAATAACTTGTAGGTAAGGGGAAGGATAATCTGCATTGGAGCAGAAAGCTCCCCTTTCGTATCTGCCAGAAGTCCAGTGTCACTTGGGTTTGAAGTGTCTTTAGCAACTCCCAGGTCCCTGGACCAGGACTTCTTACTGCCCCCTGTTGTTATTAGACTGGGAGGGGGGGTCACTGTCGGCCAGGCAGGAGGGCTCCACTTGCTGAATCTGCCCGCCCACTCCAGGCTGCCATGGCAGCCTCACTCAGCACCCTCGGGCACTGGGTCAGCGGAGGGCTGGGACTCAATAAATGCTGACCGTGACATGAAGACCCACTGAGGTAAAGCCAGAATTCATACTTGAAGAGTTGTTATGTTTGGTTTTTTTTCTGGTATTTTGAAGTTGCTACAGATAAATTTGAGAAATATAGTTGAAGTTGAACAGTTGTTTTTGTTGAAGTGATTCTACAAAAGGAGCCCTAAAATAAGGAGCCCTTACAGCCCAGCCGCTAAGGCATACCTGGGGGTTCCCATACAGAGTGCTTGCTGGGGCTGATAGGATTTTGTGGGTCTTCATGGGAACCAGAGCGTGCACTTTTGTGTCTCTACCCAGCGGGGACAGTGGTTAAGAGTGCCCTGGCTTTAGTGTTGTTGAGACCTGGCTTCCTTTCATGAAAAATTTAGTTTCTGACTTCACTGCTCTACTTGCTGTCTATGGATCACGTTTCCTAATCTCTGAACCCCAGTCTCCTCATTTAGTAGATGGGGATAAGTGTCCCAATTTCTCTTACAGGAATCGTGAATATCAGCATTCAGTGATGTGCACGCTGGTATCGCTAGCTGCCTCTGCCTCTCCTTTCCTAAACCCATGCAACTCTTCATTTTGACAGTCCGGCACAGGCCTTAGACAGATGAATGTGGTCAGACGGAGAACAGCTTTCTTTGTACATTGGGGTTTAGCCATTTTTGGATTAAGATCCACCCTGCACACCATAATTTAACTTTTGGTTGTTGGTGGAGATTTGAGAGTTGTTAGTCTCAAGGTAACACTTTTACAAAGCATCGTTTTTGCTGATGCCTAATCTGTTCATTTGTTCGACTCAGTATATTCCATGAAGAGCGATGTTTTGTGTCCCTGGATCCTGTGTGTGCCCCATACAGCCTGGAATGTCCCAGATGTGCTTGTGGTTGGGTATTTGTGTGATGTGCGTGTCCTACAGGCCTGGAATAGATAGCCACGCAGGGGTATTTCTGATCTTTCTGTTAGCAGTTCAGTATTTGGGCTGAGAGAGTCAAAGTAGAGGAACTGTGCTAATTATAAGTCATAAAATAATAGCCATGTTTTATTAAGTGCTTTCTAAAGTCCAGGCACCCGGTGGACTTGTCATAGCTCATGGCATTAAATCTTCATAGTAATCCAATGAGTGCTACCAGATTTATAGATGAGAAAACCGAGGTGTGGAGAGAAGCCAAAGTAACTTGGCCAAGGTCACTTTGGGTAAGCAGCATTGCGGAAATTTGAGCTAGGTCTTTCTCACACTAAAGGCCATCATTGCTCTGGGCGATTCTAAAATGTTGATGCTGGTTAATACCTCGCCGTACATCACACAGCTTGTAAATGGCAGAGCCGGGATGCCAGCAGGCCTGCTCTGAACCACTCTGCTGTGTGGTCTTATGTCACAAGCAAAGGCCGGGAGGTAGAGTGACGCACATTGTGAGGCCTCGAGGCTGGGGAGGTGTGGGAACAACTGCAGTGGCTGGGTTCCTGCGTCTGGATTAAATAGGAGGCTCGTTTTCCCTTCCTGATATTTATTTCACTAATTAAATTATAACTGTACTAAGGGAAGTGGTTAACAAAAGAAAAATCGTTAGTCCTACTGTCTTAAAGCTTTCACTTTTCTCTGTTCCTTCTCAGTTCTTAACTCTGCTACGTAATTGTTCTGCTTCTTAACATTAAGCTCATGAGTCTCCTTTTTAGAGCTATACTAACTAATCCCTGAAACTGATACATTTGAACTCACGCGACTCTAACGCCTCTTTCTGCCTGTAGCCTTTTTATTTTTGAATTGCGTCTGTTAGTGTAAATTCTAGAAGAATTACAGATTCAGAGGATTTAAATGCTTCAATTATAACTTTTCGAGAGTCATATTATTTACTTAGCTACTACTAGCTGTATCTTATTTATTTGTTCAACCTCACTAACATTTGGTTTTATATCTTTTTTTTTTTTAATCTGTGTTGCTATTTTAATAAGTAGCAGTAGCATTATCCATCTTTTCCATTTGTACTCATAGCAAATCAGAGAGACTGAGTATTTTCCATGTTTTTTCCCTAATTTAGGCAGGATAGAAGTAGTCCTTTGTCATGTTTGATGGTGTATGTTTTTCCCAGTGTGTTCCCCCCCCCCCCATTTTAGTTGTAGTATTAATTTTTTTAGGTTTTTATTTTGGAGAGTTTCAAACATATACAAAACCTGACAGAATAGTATAATGAATTGCCATCTGCGCATCACTCAGGTTCAGGAATGACCAAACTTGTGTCCGATCTTGTCTCATCTACACTCTCATGCAAATACTCCTCCTTAATTATTTTGAAGCAAAACACAGATATTATTTAATCCATGGTTATTTCAGTATCTCTAAAAGATAAGGACTTTTTAAAAAATTATTTTTTTAATTGACTCTAAGGAGGGGGTGCAGTCAGGGAGGGAGAAACAGAGAGAAATACCAATTTGTCATCCCACTCATATATGCATTCATTGGTTGATTCTTGTATAAGCCCTGACTGGGGATTGAACCCACAACCTTGGCATATCGGGGTGACGTGCTAACCAAGTGAGCTGCCTGGCCAGGGCTGATAGGTGGGTTTTTAAGCCTCACTCTCACCTGGCTTTTTGCTCTTGCAGGCTTATTTGTCACCATGAAGCTGCTACACCCAGCCTTCCCTAGCTGCTTCCTGCTGACCCTGCTCAGCTTATGGACAGCTGCTTCTGAGACTCACTCGGGGTCCACGGCAACGCCAGCCATCAGTGCAGCCTCTTTCCTGCAGGATCTCATGCATCGCTATGGGGAGGGTGACAGCCTCACCCTGCAGCAGCTGAAGGCCCTGCTCAACCACCTGGATGTGGGAGTGGGCCGGAACAATGTCACCCAGCCCCTACAGGGACAGAGAAACCTGTCCACGGTAAGGCTCCCAGCTCTACTCAGCACTCTGTGCTCTTGGGGTTCCCAGTCTAGTCGGGCACCAGAGATGAGCTGCTTAGGGCAGGCGGGGTTGGGGTAGGCAGGCCTTGATGACAGAGCAGAGAGGCCAGTCCTTCCCCTGTTGTCTGGGTCAGCAAGTCTGAGTCTCCAGCAGCTCTGGCTGCCCTCTTCCATGGGTGTTTTGAAACCATTACCAAAGGGTAGCCTGGAAGTAGGGCTCTTAGCTCTGCAGACTCTTCCTTGCAGCTACACTGGGATCACCTGGAACTGCTGGTAAGCTGGAGCTTCCCAGGGCAGCTAGCATCTCTAAGAGTTTGTAGATTATAAAGCCCTTCTTCCTCTCTCCCAGATGAACCTCACAGCACTTCTAGGTGCAAATGGAAAAATCTTTATTCTATGGGACAGAATACTGAGGGCCCCATAGTGAGATCCTGGGGGGACCAGGACTAAGGCCCAGGTCTTTTTGGCTTCTGGTTCTCTGTTCTTTCTCCCATATCATTTTGGCTATTCTGAATCTAAAGCTATTAGAGGCAGTCAGATATGTCAGCCAGCAATGGCTTTATATCTCTATTTTGTTTCCTGTGCTTAGCATTGTGAGAAATAGAGAAAAATGTGTCATGTTTAAGGGGGTTATTTTCAAGACGGGGAGCACAACCAACTGAGGACAGTTAGCTGTTATTAACAGGAAGCATTAAATGTTGTGGATTGGACAGCCATTGTAGGATTCAAAAAATGAGATCAAGAGATGAGTGTGCGCTAGAATAGTCCAGGAAGGCTCATGGGTGAGGTGTCCTGGAGCTTCAACTTGAAGGAGAAAGGAGTTTGGAGAGGTCAAGGGCCCCATGTGACCTGGATGCAGAACCACAGGAGTGTGGTGAGGGTCTTGAGTTGGTGAGGAGGCTGCCCTAGGGGCTGATGCAGCCCCACCCCAGAGGCCTCCTGGCACAATGGCAATGTCTTGGGGTCAGCAGAATCCTCAGCTTTGAAGGCCCAAAACTCCTTTGTCCGCATGCCCAGAAGGCTGACTCTAGAGGTAGGCCCATGTAAATCCAAACTCAGATAAAGACTGACATGTATAAAGTATAATTTAGAAGGGAAATAGCCATGTTTCACAGGAACAGTGTGTGAGAGTAACTTCACTGCTGACTCCCAAGGGGACCGAAGCTCATGTCCACTGGCCGACCCACACGTACTCAATAGCTCTGGAAAAGTATCTGGAATCTGCATTTTATTTATTTTTAAAATATGTTTTTATTGATTTCAGAGAGAGGAAGGGAGAGGGAGAGAGAGACAGAAACATCAGTGATGAGAGAGAGTCATTGATTGGCTGCCTCCTGCATGCCCCCCACCGGGGATCGAGCCCGCAACCCGGGCATGTGCCCTGACTGGGAATGGAGCTGTGACCGCCTGGTCCGTAGGTCTACACTCAACCACTGTGCCAGCACGGGCCGGGCTGGACTCTGCATTTTAATAGAATAGTTCCCTGGGCTATTGTGATACGCAGCCAGATTTGCTATCTGGTTGAAGCTGTATCTTCAGGTGTGCAAATAGCCTCATGTTTTCTAGAAAACACATCCTGGTCATAATGATTGGAATTCGGTTACTCCCAGAACCTCTGGGCAGTCATTTGCAGATGTTGTACCTCAGGTATGTATGAATCCAATGGCTGATCTCAAGATAACTTACCAGTTTTTCTAGTTGAAGCACCACCTTGCTCTCACCCGTGGAGATTAGTCTTACAGAATCACCGATATTTGGACAATTCTTCCTTCTTTTTTTTCTTCCCCCTCTTGGAATGCTGAGTCGGTCACTGCCTAGGGCAAGGTGTGACCTTGGGTTCTGAGAGGCTCTCTGCCCCTCACCTTCGTTTCAGTGCTTCAGTTCTGGAGCCCTCTTTGCTGCCCACAACTTCAGCAACCAGTCCCGGATCGGGCCGAGTGAGTTCCAGGACTTCTGCCCCACCATCCTCCAGCAGCTGGATTCCCGGGCCTGCTCCTCCGAGAACCAGGAGAATGAAGAGGATGAACAGACAGAAGAGGGGAGGCCGAGCACGGTGGAAGGTGAGCTGGGACGGGGAGGCCCAGTCCCCGCGCTTGTCTTTACGTGGGCGTCTGCTGCGCGATGGTAGGGCTGCTCGCTCAGTGTTTAACTGGTGACCAGGTTACGACCATCAGGAGGGGCAAATTAGAGTGGCCGCGATCCTGGCATCTTTGCACCTAGAAGACTGGCCCAGCGTGTCGTCAGACGGGCCGGTGCACGCTCAGTGTTGGGCTCTTGGACCAACACTGTTGGACCAGCCCAACTATGCACCAGCCCAGCTTTTTATGGCGACTTTGCCACTTTAGTTTTCATGAAACTACACAGGGGCCAGTACCTTGGCTTTTCCATTTAGCATTTCAGACCTTCCAGGGCCTGGCGTCGGCCCCCGTCACCCTTCTCCCCTTCCCCTGCCCAGGGCCTCTGCTCTAGCCGCAGCGGACTCGCCGTGGCCTGCGAGTGTACACGACTCGCTGGGGCCCAGCTCGCCCTTTTGAAATGCTGTCGTGTTGGTGCGTGCTCCCTGGCACTTGATACCTGGCCCAGGCTGCCTGTGTCACGCCTCATTGTTTCCTGCTGTCCATTCTTTATCTCTTAGCCTTTCACGTTTTCACCCGCCTCCATCTAAAAGGTCAGCTTCTTCTGGACAGCAGCTGTGCTGTATTTTTTTGTGGTTTTTTTTTCCATTCTTCTCCACAGCACCCAGCAAGAGGTGGACTCGGCAAATATTTACTGATGGGCTGGTAGACCTCTGTGCGCCCTGATCACAGCTGGGTTCGGAGTGGCCCCCCAGGCAGCAGGGGCACCCCACTCCCAGTAATGGAGGCCCTCGTCTGTTCTTGTTCCTCCACAGTGTGGGGCTTTGGTTTCCTCAGCGTTTCCCTGATTAACCTGGCCTCTCTCCTGGGAGCCCTCGTCCTGCCCTGCACGGAGAAAGCGTTTTTCAGCCGTGTGCTCACTTACTTCATCGCCCTGTCCATTGGAACGCTGTTCTCTAACGCGCTCTTCCAGCTCATCCCAGAGGTGCAGTAGAACAGAACGTGCGCGTCTTTCCCTGGGGCGTCCGCTGAGCCTTCCCCCTGGCCGACATCCTGCCCCTGCCCTTTGCTCCGAGGCACCTGACAGCTGCCTCCTGACAAATTAACTTCTCCCTCAGATCAAGGGGCACAGATGACGTCTGACTCTCATTCCTGGGGCACCCAGGTTTACCTCTGGCCTCCTCAGGTGATGTCAGGTGCAAGGCTCTTAGCATTTGCCCTCCTGTCTGCGGGGGTCTCAGCCTCCTGCCTCGGTGCCTTTCCTTAGCCCAGTTTGCAGGGCTCAAAAAGAAAGCTGCAGCCGGTGGTCTCTATCCATGCCCTTGGCACTCTGTGCCCCTCTGTTCTAAGTAGAGGCCCTCACAGTGCTCAGGGGTGGCCACCAACAGATGATCCATCTGGAATGAGGTGGAAGGGAAAGGTTACCACCTGATAAAGTAGAACTGGTCTAAAAGGTGAGCGATCTATTTTTACTTTTAAGCAGGCCATAATTTTTAAGCAGTGCCAAATACAGAACAAAGATTTTCCACAAAAACAAAATGCAAATTACGAGATAAAGGAAGAAGGGCGCTCCATCATTTCTGCCTTGCATCTTGACTTTCTCCTGATAGGACTGACTTCCTGGTGCCCTTACTTGACTGGAAATGTTTGTTAATTTTGTTTTTTAATTGTGACCACTGTGGAGCTAAAAAAAAAAAAAA